ACATTAATTCCTTGCTTTTCTTTTGAACTTTCTCGATAATGTTCTTCTCCTGAATTTCAATGGCTGTTGTACACAAGGTTATCTGTGAATCAAATACCAATCTATCCTTTTTTATGAAGTCTAGTTTTTTAGTTAATTTCTTTTCCATTTCTTTGGCTAAATTGAAAACTTCAGTGGCATCTTCATTAAACTTATCTATAGCAACTGATATTGGAATAACATTGTGTTGTTTTTGATAACAGCGGAGGATGTGTTCACATTGCTTACATGCTGATTTGTTGCAAGTACAGCAGTAAAATTCTATTGTGATGTTGCTGTGAGCTGGACATTTGGTTTTTTTGTCTGAGCTGCCATCTTGTTCCTTCATGTCTAGTGTGTACAGTGGGTGGTCATTTGTGGCAGGTATTTTCTCATGACATTCAAAACATTGACCTCTACATAGATACAACTGACATCTTGAGCAGTGGTATGCTGGTTGGTTGTCACAAAAAGAGCACTTAGTTGGTTTCTGCTCCTCAGTTTTTTTAATATACTCTAGTAGTTGACTTATCATTGTCTTTGAAGTAAGCTGTTTTAAATCCTCTTTTGTAAGATCATGTTCTTGTCCACATGTTGGGCATTTCATCTTTCCATGAGTTTCCACCCATTTCTCGATACACTGTAGACAATATGTGTGCATGCATTTCAGTGTCTTTGGTTGGTGAAACCTGTTGAGGCAGATGGCACACTCAAGATCTTTTTTATCCATAAATTCTAATGCCTTGGATACAGACATCTGTAGAGACAATGAAATAACTAGTATATTTGTGTTTTGTGATTAAGAGTTTTAGTAAATGGCAGAAAGTTAAAATATGCACAAAAAAAATGTACAGGAATAAATTATTATTTGTATACATTGTTTAGGAACCTTTTTTCTTCCTAATTTTGTAGTTGAAAACATTAACTCATTGAACTTTTATCAAATATATGTGGCAATACCTCTTTAAATAACACATTTATTGTAAATAAATGAATATAATAATTGTATACATTTAAGAATGTTTTTCTTTATCATAAATTAAGAATTAATATTTTTTTACGACAGCAGCTAGAACACAGATAGTAGGCCTATACACTCAGCCGTTACTACTGTATAAACTACACACCCCGTCGCCTCTGAATAGTGTGTTGCTGTTAAATAGCCTATGCCATGGAACCTACTAATTTTTTTATTAATAAATAAAAAAAGATAACTTCGTGCAAATAAATATACATCCAGGGGCAGAAAATTAATTTTTTATTTATTGCATAAGGATTTAGTTCCGCATTCCGCACCCTAGGTCGAAATGCTCAGCTTACGCGCCCCTGTTAACCCTCTATAGTCATTGCAAGAGAATTGAAAATTGCAAAACGGTATATAAACAGGCTTAGTTTCGCCGAAACGTTTCTTATCTTACCTTATCGTATCTCCTAAGCCTGTGTTGACTGGGTATGTACCTGTTTCTACCTGTGATCAGTTGAATTTGGACGTTTTCTGAGGGAACTACGAAAATTTAATTGTGTTAATTAAGAGTTAGTATAAACAGGGGTAGGGCCTAGATATAAGACACCTGATAATACAGCGGTAGGTTGTAAAAGCCAATACCTTGTTTTTAGTATAAACAGGGGTAGGGCCTAGATATAAGACACCTGATAATACAGCGGTAGGTTGTAAAAGCCAATACCTTGAAAGAAAGCCTAAAATACCTTGAAAGAAAACTAAAACCCACTTTCCGCTCTTGCTTGCCCTGGCCAAGTTCAATCGCCCAGTTTGAAGATTGTGGGAATTCCCAATATGATTCATCGACAAGGGGCTTAATGAAAATCGCTGTCAAACACATAGCATTCATGATTTTGAGTTGGTTTTTATTTAATTACATTTGGTACTTCTTCTTTTGAATATTTAGCGTTAAAAATTAGACATTTGAAATTGTTTTTTCGTGTGAATTTTTCTAGGAGGAAATTGAAGTTCTCGAAGGAAATAGAAGAAGTCTTCGGAGGAAACCAACGACAGCGCTATAATTCCAAATATTTTATATCAGGCAAAATCGGGTGTAATATCGGCTGAGGTTATCGGCACTGCCGCAGTGCGAAAAAAGCTGCTGTTTTCTATCAACACTGCCACAGTGCCAAAAAGCTGCTGTTTTCTATCGGCACTGCCACAGTGCGAAAAATTTTTATCTGCATTATTGCCGCAGTGCGAAAAAAACTCCGATTTTCTATCGGCAATGCCGCAGTGCCAAAACATTGCAGTTTTCTATCGGCACTGCCACTCAAAAAGCTGCTGTTTAATTATCAAATGGATGTTTTTATCTATAGATTTTATCAATAATTGGTTAGGTCTAGCCTAGCCTATATTATTGTTAACATTATATTATATATGTTTTACAATTAATTATAATTATTTCTATTATTAAATATATACATATATCTAGGTCCATACATAAAACAAAAAATAGAACAACAAAAATTAAAAATAAAATAGTAGTAATAATAATAATAATAATACGGTAAATAATAATAATAAAATAATAATAATAACAGTGCTCGAATAATACTATAATAATGAAATAATTGTTTGATTAACGAAATGAATCAGCATAATATTGAATCAACTTGCGTCTATGCAAAACCTGTTTTTTTTAAATAAAGATGTTATCTATTTAATTCTGTTTTAAAAAATAATCCTATAAATTATAAGTTTATTTTCTATGATAATTTTATCCACATAATTCATGTTTTCAATGTTAGTATGGTTGATAAATAATATATAAGATAATAATAATAATAATAATAATAATAATAATAATAATAATAATAATAATAATAATAATAATTAAGGTGCCCGAATAATGATTTAATAAAGAATTAATAATACTTCAATAATACTTCAATAGGCCTATTTTCGATAGTGTGATTAATGAGATATTTGTTGATTAATTTATAGAAATATATGATAGGTATTATAATAGGCCTATACCATTAATAATGATTCAGTATATTTAATCAACTTACGTCTATAGATGTAAAATCTGGTTGTTTTTTTTCAATAAAATATTACCTATATTATTCTGTTTAAAAAAATAATCTTATAAATTACCATACATTATAAAGTTTCATTGTAAGTTATATGAGAATTTAATCTATATAATTTATGTTTTTAATTATTTAGCATTTAAACAATTCAGTGGGCCTAACGCTGGATGTAAATGTAAATGTAAAACAAAACAAAAACAAAAAACAAAAGCATCGCCAAAGTGCTTTCATGTATGCAAATGCTATACTACTACTAATACTATCGCGCGATTACCGCGTATTTTTGGTAAGCAGAGCTCAGGATGGTTCACACGAGGTGAAGAATATCCGTCGAATTGCCGTGTAAATAATAACTTTCACAAGAACTTTACAAATATCTTATTTAATATAATTTTAATTAATATCTTAAATTAGTTAATTACTAATTAATTAATAGATTGATATAAGCATTGTGACCTTATAACTACAATTTATTTAATATAATTTAAATAATAAATACATGAATCCTGCAACGAATTTTTCAGGTCAGAAATTGGCATCAAAAAGTAGTAATTTTTCAATCACGATCTTCGTATTTGTCGGTTCATGGAAATGAAACCGACAACCGAAGCCAAAACACATAAACAGCACGGTACTCTCTAAATACGATGGAAATTAAAAGACAGCAACACACCCTAAACAATATCAAACGGTCTATTATCGACAGAGCATCGGCTTACTCCCAAAAACAAAACGCTACAACCTATGCATAACCGAAAAATTTCACATAATATAGGCCTATTCAGACAGTCAATACTAAACAAAAGAACCGAGCTATTGTCTAAATGCAGGCACAACAAATACTTACTTAAAAACAATTAACTCATTTGCATTTTCACCTGCCTTAGCATTCATGTACTCGCACAATACTTGTATTCTCTCACTCCTTAAGATTGCATTAGCATGAAACAGTCTGTAGA